AGTTCCCAAGGGTAACGCCAAGTGTATTTGCTGACTGGAAGAAAATTTTAGCCCTGCATCTCATCCTCTTGTTGACGGAAATAGCAATACCTCCACTTGGGCGTCCTCTGGCTAGTTTTTTAGCAAGAATGTTGTAAGTAACGAAATTGTTGATATCAAGGTTCTTAATAGAAAAAGTCTCAGTGAGAAATAGTACGTCATAGTCAAGTTCTTCTGAGTTTGTAAAGTCTAGAGTGTTTTTTGCGCCTTCGACATTCCATAAAGCAACTTTCAGTCATGCCCGCTCTTTCTCCACTACTTTGCCCGCTCTAATAATGTACTCATTTTCAGGGTTTTCTTCTCTGATTTTTCGTAGGTCACATCTGAGTGTGTACTGTCGTGCTCTTTCGTCTTTCGTGAGGTCAGGCTGCAGGAAGATATTCTTGTATTTTTCCTTGTCTCTGAGCAGTCTTGCTTTTTTGAGAAGATTGTTGCGCTCGTCTGCTGATCCGAGGGTTACCAGAAGCATTTGTAATCCATCTTCATTCACTTTACCGATCCTTTTGGTGGTTAAGCCATCAGTAGCAACTGTTTTAGTTTCATGTAGAATATTTTGCACTAGTTCTTTGCCATTCTCTGCGGCCTTAGAGCCAGAAATTATGACATTACAGGCCCTCCTTTCTTGCTCTCTCTTCTGACTTCAGGTTTTTGAGAATTTCCGAGTAACTTGTTGGCTTAGCTGGAGCAGAGATGCTTTTTGTGTTTTCAGGGCTGATCATCTTCAATTCCTCCACTTCTGACTCAAGTGCTTTGACCCTCTTTTCAGTTTTAGAAGAACAGAAGCCGCATAGAAAATCATCCTGAAGGTATTTCAAGGGCATAGATTTAGGTATCCAGAGTGGTGTCCATATTTTGCAATCTGTGTTGGAGCATTGAGCAAAATGAGACGAACCTTCATTTTCTTCGTCTGATACCTCCTTCTGTTTTGACATCTTCTGTCTTGTCGACATTTCAATGCGTTTTAAGATTTTTATCCACATCCACAGAGAAAAACATCCACATCGACTGTTGGGTATCGTAAGCGAAATTTTAGTATCGTTTGGGTACTGTTTCGTTTGGGTACCATTGGCTGAAAGACCGGTATCAGGTGGCTCAAAGTCACGCTTCAGGATTTGATATCTGGTTCGATTGAAGCCAAACTGGTTCGCTCAGGACTTGTAACATTAAAGGCTCTACAAATTCAAAGCTATACCAAAAGAGCCCCCGCCCTAAAAAGATATACTACTACTACTACTACTACTACTAAAAGAATTTATTCCCTTTAAAATATAAAGGCATCAAACAAAAGAAATGGTATGATTATGTACACAAGACATCACGAACGGCAATTTATGCAATGGCAACAAAGTAGCATTGAACAAGAGTTGTTTAAGTTGAACATATCAATTCTATTTTTCAGATAGATTTTCAATTTTGCTTTGAAAATTTCAGGCGATGAGAAAATGTCGGCTATGTTGTTTGCTGAAATCATGTTGGCATACCGACAGACGCGATAGAAGAAAAATTGCTCTGTAAAGAAGAGTCGACAATTCTGGGTTGTTGAAAGCTTAGGGCGTGAGCTATTGCGAAGGTCTTTGGCTGCAAAGGTAAAATTTATGTATCTGTAAAGGTTGAAATCAAATTGATCAGTCAGGACTCGATTAAGAAAACACATATCATGTAAAGCTATAGTGAAGGAAATTGGCAAGGAATTCGTTTTTCTAAGTTGTTCTGTATAGTCGTTGACTCCCGTTACCCATTTCAAACATTTTCTGTTAAATAATTCTAGTTTGCGGCGATATGTTAAAGATGGAAACCAGACCTGACTACCGTATAATAAAATATTCACAATACATAGCTGGTAATATTTGAATTTGGTTCTCATGGATACTCCATAAGGGATTGAACGTTTCAAGAAATGGAAAGCTTTGTTAACTGCAACCAGTTTGGTTTTAATGTGGATGTCCCACTTTAAATCACTAGATATCGTTACTCCGAGATCTTTGATAGATGAAACTGACGGAATTGGGTAATCATTAAGGCAAAGTGTAGATTTGGGGGAAGTTGAGTTAAAACAAATAACTTTGCATTTATCAGAATTAAATGTCATTTCGTTTTCAAGCGTCCAATTGATAAATAGATCAATGTCTATTTGAACTAAGGAAAAGTCATATTTTGAATAGAGTTTGCTGTCATCAGCAAACAGAAAACATTTAGAGGTTTTCAAGACAGCTGGCATGTCATTAATGAAGAGTATAAATAGTAAAGGGCCGAGTACACTTCCTTGCGGAACACCACTTGTTACATGGCCTTTTGGAGATGCTTCATTGTTAATTAAGACATTTTGCGTGCGGTTTGTGAGATAGGAAGCAAAAAGTTCAAGAAAGCTAACGTCAAAGCCTAAATTACCAAGTTTCAAAATAAGTATATGATGAGGAACTTGATCAAAAGCCTTGCGAAAATCGAAGTACACAGAAAGACATTCGCTTTTTGCCTCGACGTCGTTATAAATCTGATCTAGGTATTCAAGAAGCTGAGTAACAGTCGATCGCTTGGTCATAAAACCATGTTGAGCAGGTGTAACTTTAGCCCGAATTTTAGGATAAATGAAATCGAAGATCATTCTCTCCAGAACAATCGATAATTGAGGCAATATGCTAATCGGGCGATAATTTTCAACATTTTCGGGATTACTAGATTTAAGAACTGGCGTAATAAACGCACATTTCCAAAGTTCTGGCCACGTTTTAGTTTCCAAAACCTTGACAAAGAGCTGCACGACTAGAGGAGATATTAATTCACTGCAGTAGTTAAGAATAAAGGTTGGGAGGCGGTCGTTGGTAATACAAGAAGTTTTAGCAAATTTGAGAGCTTTCTCGACCTTTTTAAGGTTGACATGGAGATCGGATAGAAAAATAGTGGGTTTTTCGGGTTGTAAGATTTGAATTTCATGCTTTTCTAGAAACACTGAACAGAAGTAATCGTTCAAAAGAATGGCTATTTCAATAGAAGTGGATGCTTTACTATTCATCCAGTGCATTTGGTTTGGTAGTTTCCTTCTGGTAAAAGATCGAAGGTATTTAAAGCAATCACGGGTAGAATTTGGTCTTAAAGATTCAAGGAGACAAGTTTTATCCAATTCGATTGAATTGTTAAGGTCTTGTTGGATCGAAGCTAAATGATTTGTGTTGGCTGTCCGTTTAGATATGGAATGATGCTTATTCAGTAAATGAACTGTATGCGACGAATAATAATAGGGAAGTTGCTGGCGTCTTTTAGTTTTCTGTGCGCATGATGAAAGAATTGCATGATTGATCTGAGCGTACCAGCTATCTACATAATCATTAGTGGTGGATATGGAATAACATGAGTTTTGTTCCACAATGAGTTTGGTAAAGCAAGGGCTGATGTTAGTATTGAAGATCGAATGAGAAAAAGATGATTTAGATAGAGAGGTTTTCATAAAATTCCCACTCACAGTAGGCGCTGCTTCAGGAATGGTAAAAAAAGCAAATAAAGGAAAATGGTCTGAGTAAAGCACTTCATTTACAAATGCAGTGAACAATTCTGTGTGCGAAGTTAAAATGATATCAAGAGTGTTGCCTGAGCGATGTGTGGGTTCATATATAAGGGGCATTAAGCTATGATCCTCAATAACCTCTAGGAACAGTTTCGAGTAATCACAGCCACCATCAGAAGATGCCCAACAGATATCAGGCAGATTTAGGTCACCTAAGATTGTGTACGAACTAGAACCATTAATCAATTTGGAGTTAAAATAACGTATTGAATCAGTAAGCATTTTGGCAGGTATCCGAAACTGCGACGAAGCGGGGGGGGTTGTAAATAAGGAGGAAAATATGATTAACTGCACCCGAATATATTGAAAGTCCGATGCAGTAATCTGCATCGTATGATAGAGTTGAATAATTTAGAGCAAAACTCCTTTTTGTAGCAATGAGAACACCTCCGTGTTCTCCAGAAGTGCGGTCTTTTCGAGCAATAACCGAATAGGGAGAATTCATTGGAAAAATTTCGGGATCAGTAACTTCTGGTTTAAGCCATGTTTCAGTAATGAACACGATATCAGGAGAATGTAAAGAAAGAAAATTGATTAACTTCAGACGCTGATTTATGCTCAAGAGACTTTGTGCGTTGATAAGGCATAACTTTGATTGTAGTCAGTCAAGATTGATCTTGATACCATTTCGTTCGAGGGTCAGACCACGAATTTTTAGCTCATCGCGTGGAACTTTTTCATTGTTAATCATGTCGTACCGTTTCTTGAAGATTTTACGTTTCAGAATCTGTTCTTCTTGGTTCAGGGACTTCGATATGAAAATCTTTTCTTTGAAATTCTTCAGTTTGTAAGATTTTGCCAGGCATTTTCTAGCATTCCATTCGGATGACAGACGAACAAGTAAAGGACGCGGTCTTCGTTGTTGGGGATTAGCTTTACCAAGTCTATACATTTGGCAGATACTGAGATTTTCTTCGCCTATATGATCAAAAATTTCGGCCACTTTGGCTTCTTCGGCCTCTATATTGGATGTAAACTGTCCGTTGTCTTCGCAGACCCCGTCGATGATTATCTCGTTTTCACATGTGTTGGCCCGGTGACTGTTATTAATACGACTATTAACCGGTACATTCGATGATGTTGTCTTGGTTGGATCAACATTTTCAACAGTTTCTTTAATGCTTTTTGTAATTTCGATTAAGCTTTCTTGTCTTTGAATAATCAGTTCAAACTTAGCTTGGGATGTGAAGATGTTCCCCTCAAGGCAGCCAGAGCACAGCCAGAAGCATCCTCGAATTTTGCCCATTGTAGCTACATCATCAGGAGACAATCCAACACATTGCCCATGGAACCACGCGCTGCACTTTTCACATCCTATAGCAGTTGAGTCGTTGTCCTTCACTGTTTTGTTGCATGGTCCACATCTAGTAGCTTTTGCTTGAGACATATCAAACCGGAAACTATTTAATAAGTTTATCACAACAATTAGGATAATTGATATAGATACCGGACCATGGCCAGGTCTCTAAATACTACAAACACGCGAAAACCATGAAATCGGGGATGGGAACAAAGTAAGGAGAAATTTTCGTTGGACAGCGTGTGTTTGATCGATTACAGATGGATCAACTTGAAACTCACATCAACTCAACAAAATTAGGCAAAAAAATTTTCAATTAAGTAAAAACAACTTCAGAAATCTAGACAATAACTTTGGATTAAAATCCAGTAATGCGATTACAGTAATTGAGTGAAGCTCAAGATGTTTCATAATTTTCAAGTGGTTGTGTTATAACGAGAAGGTTTGGACGTGAGTTCAGTTGGTATGCCAGCAGGATACTAGTTTCTTGTATACTCAGAAGGTCAATAATATCATAGTAACCAAGGTAACAGTCAGAAGTCCCTTCATCAGATTATCCAGTAAAAATCCTGGGAATTTTCTAGATAAGGAAAGGTAAAGTATAATGTGGATAGAAGTAAAGAGAGTGAGATGGGTTGGGGATCAAGCCAACCATATAGAGAAAACTAACTGGTTCTAGGGCCGTCGTCACTAAACTTCAAAAGCTATTGGTTGAATAATATATCCATCTTCAATCAAATCTCTATACTTGTCAGATAATTGTCTTGCTTTGTTTTCTGACGTTCAGCGCCCAATCATTGAATTCTCTATCAGGAACAAAGCCACATTCTCAAGAAAATATGAGCCAATTGCAAATAGCAATTATACTCGAGATGGTATTTTCGAGCGTGTATCCCGCAAGTGGAGATAGAATGGGCTGTTCTGATTTCCGACTTTTGTCTTTCAGATTGTGCGAAATAACAGCATGACAGGGCAACTCGAAATTTTAAATATTTAAGTGTGAACCAAAATCTTTGATATGACTGACTGCCGAAAAGTTCATAATCATTTGGCTTCTCGTGGTAATCAGAAATTTTGAGTTTTTTGGAAGACAACAACAATTTAGATGTAAATTTTTGCTATTGTTTTTGTATTATTTTTAAACCTCATCAAAATCACAACTTGACCCCAATTTTGGATGTATGTCTCATGATAGCGTCATCAGGATAGTTTTAGTGATAAAATTTTATTAGATATTTTAATGAAACCTCACGGAGCACCTATTGCTCATACGAAAATGTCGCGGCCGATGGAATTATAAACAATTGTGTTGGTATCTGAAAGCAAATAAAACACCAGATATTCACCGATATTAAAATTGATTCTAAACTTCAACAAGACTTCTCGTATCAGGGCGAAGCCCTGAATGTTCCGACTGCCTTTTAAGGTTTATGGGTCAGTAATAACATTATAAAATTAAATGTAATAAAACAAAATGGAAAATTTTTTATGAAAATCATCCCCCCACACGCCATATCGCGCGTTAATTTTCCCAAATTGGCAAAAATGGCAATTTTTAAACCCCCATAACTTTACGAAAAATGATCCCAGGTTAGATATCTTTTCAAATTTGAGCTCAGGACAACAATACTTTTCGAATGATATAAAAAAATTCCGTCAAAAATGGCTAGTTTAAAAGTCGAAATTTGTCTGAAGAAAAAAAACCCACCCCGAGCACAATTATTCCGGTACTTTCGTTACGAAAATCGGAACAAAAACACAATTCAATCAACTATTTACCTCTTAATGGAGAGTTATTAAAGTAGTAAATTCAGTAGCTTGGCGTTTACCCGCGGGCTTATAAAATGCCATACATACAAAATAACAGAAACAAATTTACAATGACGCCAGATACATTACCAAATTTGCATAGAACAGAAAAAATCAGATCTCTTAATCGGAAAATTTATGTATAGCATCCCAAGGCCGATTCGTTTGCTCCCAGAAAGAAAGATTTTAACGCTGCTTTGAGTTTTCCAATGAAGAGTTCTCCATATTTCATTCAATAAGATTTGAATATCAGCATACGTATTATTGTTGCATCAAAATCTTAAAATATCTCGAAAAACTTCTGGTTTTTGTAATCACTTGATGGTATGAAAGCCTGGTTTTTGTAATCACTTGATGGTATGAAAGCCAGCAGTGTTCAAAAGTTAGTGTATCGCTTGGAAAACAGTTGACGCTTTACAAGAAGAGTTTGAAAAAAGATCACACTTTTTGAAACACGTTTTTGGGCTTATTGTTTAACCAAGTTTTGCTGCTGATAGGAGAAGTTACCGCAGTTAACAGGCACAGGTCAGAATATCAGGTTGGCAGTTCCAATTTACATTAATTTTGAAGTATATTGGACCGAATTTACATGGGATTATAACAAATCCGAATTTTTTGATGTTTGTATGTATGTATGTAATATGGATTCGACCCTGTGGGACCGGGATTACTCCCGTAAACAAGATGATTTTTGCTTTTCAAATTCTCCAAGTACTGGAGATTAGCTCGTTGTAGTGTGTTTCAAAGTGTCTCCATAGGTAGAAAAGAGGTCGTCGAGAGTTGCTATGAATTCCATGGCCGCTGTGTTATAATTTTCTTTTGGTGCATTTAGAAAAGACTAGTATGGCCCCAGTTAATTGTATAATCGCTGTAGCTGCACGGGAGTGCATCTTTTTTTTGTTTTCTTTAAAATACCGTAGGTCGCTTTTAGAAGAAGAAACATTAGTTCAGAATCAATGACATCTGTGGAACTTATACTTCACACAAAAGAGATAGCCTCCTCATCCAGGCAAATTCTTTTTGTTCCGGGAGATATACAGCAAGTAAATGCTCAAAAAATTACCGTTATATTACGTACTTTAGAAATTGAAAAAAAAAAGAAACTAGTGCCTTGTTTAGAGGAGCAAAAACTCAGAAGACTTCAATCAGTATAAACTGTCTTCAGTAAACAAAGCCTTTTGCAATATTGATTATGTGTTATCGCGACTCGCATCTGCGGATATCGGAAATGTATGGGGTCTGGAGCCATCTAGAAATGTACATGGTCTCAATTACTTCTCACCTCTTCTGGAGTTTTCTCCAACAGGACTACCCTTGTATTCAATCAAATCCTGTGCACTTAGTAAGCATTAACTTTTTTGACTTAAATGGATTATATTACGTGCTTTAATACTAACTCCCTGATAGAATATTTACCCTTGCCACAAACAAGGTTTTTTTAACCGGGGTACCAGACTGTTTCGGAAAGAACTTTGTTCACAGTGTTCGCACGTGAAAATAATACACGTATTTCTTTTTTATGCTTGCGATACAAAACGTTATCAAATTAGAATATATGCTTCTTTTCGGGTTAAAAACTTGTTATTTACTCAAGCAAAGCTTTTGTTATAGTATGAACTCTCTTTTTTTTCCAATCTAAGTTGCAATTATTGTTGCGGCAAAATGTGTTCATTTTGAAAGTGTCCATTTTGATCAATAACCAGCTATTAAGTACAGCCAATGCTAATGATATTAACACAGACTATTATTTTACAAATAGCTTTTTAGCTTCAAGTTATCATGGATCTGTAGCGTAGAGGTAGGGAAGGAGACGCACAAAGTAAGAGGGTTCGAACCTCGGCAGGGTGGGATGTTTTTAATGAACTTTTTCGTATACTAGTTAAATGCGTCCGCTCTATAAATTGAGCCATGTTAGTTGGTAATTTTCGTTTTTTTTTTTCAAATTGACTGGTATTCCTAATGCGCCATAATTGGCTTGCGTCTCTTAGCAATTATGTAATCTCATAATTGGCGTGCGTCACTTAAGAAATTTTGTAGTTTCAAAGTTCTTCTCATTCAGTTTTTCCCAGTAGCGTTATCGGTCATATTTTTGCTTGTGTATGCGAAGTGCAACTTCGGCTCTGTGTCAAAACTTGGTATTCAAAATTTGTCAACAAACCGGGTCTGCTTGGTAAAGCTGAGTAATTTAGACAACCAACAAGTCCTCGATAGTTACTTTTTTCTTATTGTCTTGTTCTATGCTACTTTCTGAACGATTTTTTTTGTTTAAACCTTGAGTGGTTGTTATTGGCTTAGCATCAGTCATCCTAAATCTCGCCAACATTTTTTCGATGCATTTTTCCCGGCTCATTTTGATTTCGTTTTCCGAATAAACATTTTTATTCCTGAGAACCGATTCAGATCAATTGTCTTGCTTAATTTAAGTTTTTTTCAGAAATCATAATGTAATAAATTGTTTGCAATACAGATTCTGTTCAGTGTAAAGCTTACTACATTCATAACCAAATGAATCTCATCGCTTTAGCACCATTGAAATTTGCAGTCTGTTTTCTTTTCAAACGAGCAACCAAATTTTTGCCCGCTGTACAAGCCACTATATCATTCACTCGCAAAGTATTTGGACCTTCTATCTTTCCCTCTTTGGAGTAATCGTTCCCCACTCACTTTCTATCTTTCCGTTCTCTGGAGAAGTATGAAGAGCCAAAGTTTCAAGTCTGATTTTCTGTTTTCTACAAACTCGCTTCAAATCTGAACAATGTAAACTTCTGCCTACAAAACCAATGTAAATTTTGCATGCAAATGTAAACTGTCTACAAAAAAATAAGCATTTCTTTAACCATCTAATGCTATCGGGTCAATAGGACCTAAAATGTCCGTTTTTATTTCTATATTCATGGTTTCCCCGGTTACAATTTTTTCGACTTTGGCTCATTTGCTGTTTTGATTTCACAATTTTCAAAATAACTTGTCTTCCTTCCTTTTTTTCTAAAAAACCTAAAGTCTTTGTCGTTGTTATGACGCATCCTACTTTGCCACTGTTTCAATGTGCTATGAGTGGTTCCAATCTCTCTTCATGAAATACTCCACAAAAACCGTCTTCAAAACCCATAGCATTTCTATAACCATCTGATGCTATCGGGTTAAAAAAACCTTAATTGCTTTTGTAAATTATATGTAGAGTCCTGGTTCCCTGGTGTTACAAATTATCGGGACTGGCTTCTTTGTTGCTTAATTGAACTCACAAGCTGAAAAATTCTCCAACTTAAAACAACTCATGTTCATTCCCTCTTTAAGTTTGCCTCAAACACTAAAGTGCTTGTAGTTGTTTTAACCTAAAATGCCACTGTTTTAATGTGCAAACAACTGTATGTGCTATGAGCCTTTCCAACTTTTTTGTTGCCTCATTTTTCGTCTTCATAAATAAGTTCTTACAACTCTAGAAAAACCGTCTACAAAACCTATAGCATATCTCTGACCATCTACTGCTATCGGGCACTCATGGCACTGAATTTTCCAAGCGTTGGCTTCATTACCTCGTCCGCTACCTATTTTTTTTCTGCACTGTTTGGACACATGTCGATTTTTATAATTTTGAAACAAACTCTATTTTCGCTGTTAAAAGCCTCTTTTTCAGTTATCTCTGACTATCAAAATTATCTAATTCTATTTTCAATTCGTCTATACTTCATAATTTTGTTATAGTAGAAAAGTTTTAAATTGTATCGGAAATTTTATATATGTTAAGTCACCCGAACAAAGTTACTCGAATCAATGATTTTTATTGAAAGTTATTTTTCTAGTTAAACCGAATTTGAAAAAGATCAGTTCCAGTACATTTAGGAAATTTACTAAATACCAGTTTGCGTACCAGTCCTTGTTTGTGAAGGTAATGGAATCGTTCTGGCTAAGAGCTAGTTTTTTATGAATTGATTTTTTTCGGGGAGAAATTTTATTATCGGACGGTTGTTAGTCTGCTATTTTCCCAACCATGTACTTTGTTTTCAGTTGAAGCATGTTTTGCTATCAAAGAAACATCTTCTGAATCGTTCATGTATTTTGTAAGCTTGCAATCTCTGATTTTCAATAATTTGTTGTTCTGATCATTTTAAAAATAGGGAGGAACTTTGTATCCGGGTGTTTTAGTTTTCTTTTGTTTTTCCATGCAAAATCAGATATCATAAATAGATGTTGGAATGGGTTGAATGATATATCATATTAAAGCTCTTTTAATTGTGATTCGAACTTGATAAAATTTCAAAAAAAATTTCACTGTTGAGAAAAACCGGTTGGAAATTTTTGATTTTTGGTCTAATTTCGAACTAATATGGTGTGAGCGTGTAGGCTTACAATATCTTATTTAAGTTTACTTTAAGCGGTGAAAATTTAGTTGTACTCAAATACAAGTTTTTTGGAGTTTTTAGTGCTATTTTGTAAACAAAGGTTAAAAATTCCTAAAATTTCTGGAACAAAATTTGATAAATTTTTAAAATTTTTTAAATTTTTTTTTGAAATTTGTTTTTCTGCTAGTCAATTTTCTTCAAAAACTGTTTTCCAAATGGACTTTTTCCTATGGCTAACAAATATGCCTACACAGTTTTTTTCGTTCAGATCTTATAAGAGGTGTAGCTCAAACTATTTTGAGGCCATTTTGTTTTCGGTTCAATGGTCGTCTACCCAAGTTTTGACGGCTTATGTGGCGATCGGTACTTTTTATCCAGTTGCAGAATGAAATCTCGAAATAAATATTTTCTAGTAGCAATAGCAAATGTAACCCCTACCATAACCAAGTACTAGACTTCCCTTTAATTAACTTTGTTCACATCTGGACTCATTTTCTGAAGGCCCCTTGTTTGCAGAAATTGATTTTGTACTTCTTAGCTTTATAAATATCCATCATATTCGAAGTTTCTTTTGTTGATTGTTATTTTAACAACTTCGTTTTATAAAATTTCTTTTCTTGTTTTGCCCCTTTTTCCGGCTTAATAGGTTTCTGCCTATATATGTGTTGGCTTAGTGGCCGCATGTTGCGCCGCTCTATGGGCGAAAAAACTTCAAGTTTGGATTTTGTTGGTAGATGATGAGGGGACTCACAACTTTTTATTAATTTTTTCGGGTTCGTTTTGATATTTCGGCTTAGTTACCACTTGGAAAGTTTTCCTATGATACTTATTTCAGATTAAATTGTCTTGGCTTTTAAAACCAGCTTTGTTCATTTACTCAAATCTAGCCTTCCAATATTTTCGATTTTTTTTTCGACTAAGCGTCTCAATGTGGTAATTCATAATTCCGTTCGGCGGTCGTCTACTAAATGTTTGCCTGCTTTGTTCCGCAGCACGATTTTGTTCGTAGTTCCAGCTTTGCCAAATTACCATTTGTAAAATTCTTATTGGTGGAGGCAATTTTTGGTTTTCAATTTCTGATTTGTCATTTCATCTGCACGTAGTAATCTTAGACATTTGTTCTTGTATCACAAATAGTGCGAATCTCTGAGTCGCCTTTGTGTTTCAAATATCTACATAATTATTATCACCAGTGGGAAAAAGCTGCAATTTGAGTTCAGTGTTTCAGCAACTCTCACTCACATAGGGAAATCAAGATGTAACAAAGCCCTTCTGGAACTTCCAACTGACCCATTTGAATTAATTGGTTTCAGTAAAGGATGCAGCGTGATAAACCAGATTTTATTGGACCTGTCTTGCAAAGACAAACGTGAAACGGATGGTCTGGACACCAAGTTTTTGATCGATAAAATTGTTTACTTGGATAGCGGACACAATGGAATGGAGTTGTTTTACCCAGTTCAAGAAATATGTACCAACTACATCTTGAAAAATAAAATAAACATAGAAATTTGGGTTTCGCCCTACCAAATGAAGCAAAATAAAAGTAAAGATGTAAAGCAATCTGAGATTGATTTAATGGTGTCTAAGATTCCTGGTCTAATAACTGTGACGAAAGTTGATTGGGAATCGGAACCATCACTTGATGTTCATTTCAATGTTTTGAGTAATTTTATTTCTGAATATACGAAGAAGCCTTATTTTTATTGTTTTTTCAATAAAGCCCAAATGTTTTTCGGTTGGGTGATATCGTAGCATATGGCAGATTTGAAATATTTTAAAGCTAATTGCGGGATCACTTTTTTTCGATACATCTATAAATGTTAGAAAACCATTAGAGGAAATAACCGGAGCTCATAGTTTCAATCAATCTATGATGATGTAATTAAAAAAAAACAGTCTTAATAACGGAAACAATTGACTGTAACTGACATGAAAACTTCGCAGTTTTTAGTTTTTATTTTCACTACATGCACTACTGAATTGTTTTCAAAGCTGTCGCCCAGTCTAATATTTCAATAATCAAATATTAACTTATCTTAGCAGAAAATGAAGTGCAAGACTAAAATATGGCGATGTTTTTAGATTTGAATTATGTTCGGAGCTAGAAGTGTACTTCGACAGGGGTTGCAGGCCAAAAATGCTCCCCTGATGCAATCGCTACAGCCCTGCAGGGAAATGGCAACCCTCAAGGACATCTCTCTTAGGCTTAAAAGTGTGAAAAATATTCTGAAGATCACATCCTCTATGAAAATGATAGCTGCAGCCAGGTATGTCCTATATGCTTTATCTGCTTTGGTTGGCCTTACCAGCTTTACTGATACGAAAACTGGATTTGCCATTTTTGGTAACCCTTGTTGGTTTGACTAAGTATTTTCGTGTCTCGAACTTCGGAAGTTCATAAATGGTGCTTTTTTAACGCGTAGCAGCCCTTCTCCCTGGGCTGCATTACCTACAGCCAAGTTTTCTTGCAGAGAAAGTAGAATATGCCTTACTGCGTTTAACTCGAAAAACAATGGTGTCTTTTTTTTGCCGCTAGTGAGTTCAAAAGTAAATGAAACATTGAAAATAAGACTAAACTAAACCTTGAAATGAGGACTATTAGTTCTCCGTGAAGTGTTTTGCACTGTTAACTAAACTTGACATTTAGGTTTGCCAAGGCTGATAAAGAGCTGAAACAGTCTTTTACATTTGGCCATGGCTCTCAGCACTTCTACGATCAAGCTGAGGTGAAGCCCCTTGATGCAGTGGAATCGAAGAGACCAGTGAAAGTTCTGGTTGCTCTGAGCAGTGACAGGGGATTGTGTGGCGCCATTCACTCGAGTATTGCGAAGTCGATCCGAAATGAAATTAACACAAACCCAGGCACTGATTACAAACTGGTGATCGTAGGCGACAAAGCGAGGGGCCAGTTGCAACGAACACATGCAAAGAACATTTTCCTTACCTTCAAGGATGTCGGAAAAGTGATGCCTAGCTACGGAGAGGCTAGCCTAATTGCCAGTGAAATTATCGACAAGATCGGTGATTTCGATATGGGTCATGTATATTACAACAAGTTCAAATCGGTAGTCTCATATAACCTTCAAACACAGCCGATTTTCACAGTGAACACGATCGCCAAGGCTCCCGGAGTTGCCGTCTATGACTCAGTGGATGAGTTTGTTTTGCAGAACTACCAAGAAGCCTCCTTGACCAACATGCTCTATTACGCCATGAAAGAGGCTTCAGCTAGTGAACACAGTTCAAGAATGACGGCTATGGGCAATGCGAGTAAGAATGCCGAAGAGATGATAGGCAAGCTGACCATCAAATTCAACAGGACACGACAGGCAGTGATCACGACAGAGTTGAGCGAAATCATATCGGGAGCTGTAGCCATCGAATAAGCACAATTAGCACTGATCTGTAGTGAAATATTTCTGGATAAAATATCACAACACCTAAATTTGGCACAGTGGTTAAATTCATGTGCTAAAGTGTAACATACTTGTGGTTATACTATTTCAGATATACTAAAATGGTTTTAAGAGTAATGATATAATTTTAATTATTACGCTTTGACCGTTTGATTAAACTCAACTTGATGATACTGGATAAATCTTCAATTTAATACACTAAACTAATAGCCTTTCAAATCTCCAAAGATGTAAGTTTTGAACATATCGCCAACAGCGTCCAACCCTACTGTAATTAATCTAACGAGTAACAAGCGTTATTAAATCGGAACATAGACTAATTTTTTTTTCAAGTTAACAACTTGTATAACATGATCACTGAATCATTTGATGGCTTCATTTAAAATTTATTCAAATACAGCGTCCTAATCGGCTCATTTGCAATAATTGCCTAGAAAGTAATGGCTCTTTCCCTCGAAAATAATTGTCCACATAACGCTTGTCTGCTTATTTTTATCGACTTAGGTGTCCCAGCTTTGACTTTATACTTAACCTTGTAAAACCCATCGTTACATCACAAAATTGATGCTTATGTGAGGTTAGGAGAGGGAGGAATAAGAGCCAAATACCCTTGATGAGTTCCTGGATCAGGCAATGGTTCAGGTAATTTTCTCTAGATTTTATTAACCTTATCCTGAATTTTTACTCGTGCCTTAATAAATTCTCTGAAATCAACGAGTTTTTACAAATGATTCCTTCGCTTGGCTGGATCACGTTTACTGTTGAAATAGAGCAAAAGTTTGTCTTTTTTTTGCGCCTGAGATCTGTCAAATTTGTATTTAAATCGCAAGTGACGCGAAGCTCTGCATCACCTGTGTTTTGTTGAGCTAGGAATCTTTTTTCAATTTCAACTACCGTTTTGATGTAAGTTCGTATTGAGCTACATTTGGCCTATAATCCCCATTTTTGTTACTGAATATATTAAAGTCCTATGACGAAAGTGTAACTAGTTTAAAGCTAAATTTATAGTGCTCATGTTCTATGGCAGATTAGTATCATTCTAGATTTGTTTTAGTTACACTCTCGAATAAAATTAGACCTCAAGTTTCCTAGATGGATTTCATTCAAAAACATCAAAACCATAAATTAAACCTTATCAATGCAAATTCCCTAAATACTAAAGGGGAGGTTGAATTAAATAGATAATTTTGCTTGGTTAACGTTAAGCAATTCATGCAAAGCTCGAGCGTTTCTTAAACAGGGTGGCTTTATATTTTTCAAAGCTGCCTCGTGTTTATCAGTAAAAGATGTGTGAAGTATGAGGCGGATCTATGATTTTTTCGGAAGTTTTATTGTAGACCCCTCCCCTTAAAATAAGTAAGTATCAGCGCTGAAGGCGCATTCATAAAGGTTTAGGGTCAGTTCATCGAAAGGAATATTATAAAATAGTACCAAAGATGGTACCGCTGTATCCTAAATTCTCCCGTGTGAAAGCGTGGGTATATGATCTAGATATAATGGTCTAGCGATATTTTTTCAAAAAAATGAATATGGAGGCCCTTGAATTGATGATCAACGCAGTCTGAACTGATTTATTTTTGTCTTGGCTGATTTTTGCGATCTCATTTTGCCTTTTCTTACTTTTTGTAAAGTGCATCTTCAGTTCTGTGTTGTGCTGTGTCGTTAATGTTTTTTATTCAGGAGTTGTCTTGACCTAAAAGGAAATCAATAGACAAACATTTTTGATTTCTTAATTGTTTTTGCTGAATAAAAGACAAATTACTTTTTACTTTTTCGATAACCAAAGTTTTCCAGAAAAGTAATTTTTATCAGAACTGTTTTGAACAAACTTTTTTTATTTTGCATTTTTTCAACTTGGTTTAACTGTTTACTTTGCACTTCGGGTATCCTTCAGCAGGATTGAGTTGGTAAGGGGATCCGGATAAAATCATGTTTAACTTTTTGGGCGCATTTTTTTGACAGGGTGACAGGCTTTTTATCGGAGTAACGATCTACTATTGCTATAATTTCATGGATCTATTTTCACTTGCGAGAGCAAGTGTTCTTGTAGTCGGAAAGTGGACTTTTATCCGTAATCAATTTTTCTTATAAATCTAGAAGCAATTACCTCGCTTTATTATAGAACCTCGACATATGCTAGGCCCCTTCTCGCTTTCTCAAGAGGTAAAGCTTGCGCCTTCGTAGCACAAGCTCAAGGGTTCGATTCTCAGTCGAACTTTGTTTTTCTTCAAGGTGTGGAAATTGAAGTTTTTTTTCAAAAAAACGGGAACTTTCTGAGCATTGCTTGCTTATTTATTTCTGTCGACTGAAATTTCGAAGCATAGAATTGTTTTTGATTCAAAGCTTTTCTCATTCAAGCATTTTTAACCCCATTTTTCAGTCTGTAATTGATCATTTAATAACAGACTAATGACAGTCTCTAATTAATCTATTATTTAGAGTCGATGAACGTAGTTCAGACTCTTTAAGAGTAATGAACGTAGTGAAGACTCTTATGTAGGTCTTGCTGATTTTTTTTGTTTTTTTTTTCATGAAAAGTCTGATGTACTTAGGTATAATGCAATTTTTCAGTTCAATTGAAATTCATCTGCTGAAATTAACGTAAGTAGCACTCTCCAAATACGAACGTGAAAATGGCGCGAAAAAACGCGAACAATTTCTAGTTTCGAAAGGAATTTAACTTTTAGATTTCCAGCGGAATACCTATTGATCCAGTTTTCTCAAATTCGGTGAATGTTATCAAAAATGCGCAAATCAGAAATTCAAAGAGCTTAAAGGAAATCTATTTTTTTCTTTGCAATTTGAAAGTTGAGATTTTTTTCAACAAAGTCGGTGTTTTTTTGCTAACTGTCAGCGTGTGTTTTGTAAGTTCGCCAGCTCTTTTGCTTAATTGTTTTTTTTTTCTAAATTAAAATGAATTTGGATAATGCCATATTGACGTGTCTACTTCATTTTTTTGTTGTTTGAAGGGAAAACTAGATTGTGCTTTTTTTGTTTCAGGAGGAATGTAGTGGAAAAACTTTGATTTTCTGTGGATTTCGTAAAAAAATGAAATAATTTGATTTCACTTAGCTTTCAACTATTGTTTGCTGGGTAGTTTACGAAGTTTTCACTTGTCAAGTTTTGTCTCTCGGGTAATTTACAAAGATTTTCTGTTGAATATTGCGGTTTCGAAAGCATCAAGAGTTATGTTTTCCTCCTCTTTTGGCATCGCCATGCTCCACATCGCCTCTGTGTGAATAAGCTAGAGCGATGTGCTCTCTGAAACGTGGCCCTGACGATCCAATTCAGCAGGTGTGAATTAATTGCTGGAAAAGAACGAAGATAGAGAGAACAGATGAGAAGTGTTTGCAGCACACCACGTAGTTAAACGGGACCGTGCAAGTCTGCATACGAGACAGTTTGCGCGTTACTCTACGGCAATAAATCTTTGAAAACTGCAAAAAGTTCAAAATGATGAATATGTTCTCCTATGCCCAGTCGTTGATACCTGATACTCTGAGTCCGCAGTCTACAGAAACTAGATATAGTATTCATCATAAAAAATTGCATCAGATGGTACATTAACTGAATTCTATATTGCATGAAAAAAGCCCTCATTGCATGAAATAACTGAAACAGTCCAGAAGATAGGTCTTAAAGATCCAGTGGGTTTCGCGACCCAGCAAGGCCCTGGAAAAATATCGGCTGGTGATCGTATTTCTTAATTCTTCCTGTTTGACTACCCTTGAAGGACATACTTATGTTTTTTTTTCAATCATCCTGCTTCACCAAAGGCTTCATTGAAGCGTCCTTCGAGCTTTGGTCTCGGCTCGAATATTAAGTTACCGCATAAGTTACCATGTGTTATGTTACGTTACACGTAAATTTCTGCCATTGAACGAACTCTACGAAAAATTTTTAGTGGTTTCATGTTAGTTCTGTTTCTGAGTGAATTATGCATCTTTCCTGTAATCTAAGAACTAACACAAAATTCTGACCAATGTTTTTTTTACACTGGCGAGAGCAGTTGTCGTTTGATCGGGATCTAGACTTTTTTCATCTAAATACCTTTTAGAAATCTGTAAAAACTTATACTTACTTTATTATTTATTTTAAATACATCAATTCAATTTTTTACCTTGTTTTTCACCAGTGGTTTTTTGCCGAATTTGAGATATCTGTATCTTTTTCGTCGTTAGCTTGCAATGTTAAGCTTGCTTTGTTTCGCAACTGTTGCGAAACTCCGCTCTGCCTCTGTGTTAAGTGTTTTTGTTAAAGCTTTTGATTCAAATTTTACTTCATTGGTATGAATCCAAGATTCTCAGGACGAGTGGATACTGCAGTCCTCCCTTAGTGTATGTGGGTTAGCGTGATTGTGAATACCCATATTTAAGATTTTTTTCGAGGCCAAAAGTATTTATTTTTCTGAAAAAGCATGCTATTTGGTTCATCATCGCTTGTGTATGGGCAAGAACAATTTCGTCTCGGCATATAAAGATGTCATCATGGTCTTCCAAAAATTACTGCACGTAAGATTTTTTGCCAACTTCCGAAAAAGGCAGCAGCCTTGAATTCACGTCAAATAGCAGTGAGCGAAATTTGCATCTTCAACCCATGATGTACAGTCCAGTTGATTGAGAAAAACAAGGTCGCTCAAGACTATCCTATCGTATGTTTCGGCTAAGTTTCTCCGTTGTCTCCGCTGTGATATGAATTTTGACGACACAGCACAGGTGTCAATAAACTACCACAGGGATAACTGCCACAGGGAAGCTCTTAGGGATAATGCGATGCAACTAGAAGTCTACATAATAGCTCCACCTAGTTTTATGGACTCTATTGGCTGACACGTACGACAGATCGATCCTGGCAACATTGCTTTTTGATGAGGACGCTAAAGAAGCTTAACTGGAGAAAAGTGACAAAATCTGCCCTTCGGATGATGCTCTAATCAAAACAATTGCACCAATTCTTTGAAAACTATTACCAGTAGCACCTGAAGAGACTGATAGTGATCTTGAAACTCGATAACAGCGTGACATTAGTCGGATAACAGGAATATCACTCAAGCTGCCGAATTTGAATATACCGAATTTCAACGAAAGGTTTGATCAATGGACAATTTGAAACAAGTGTAGGCACAAACTCAAGTTTTTCAGAGTCACAGAAGCTGCAATATCTGATGGCCCTGCTTTAATTTGAACTTGCTCATTTACTTTCGCATTTGCTGAATATGAATGGAATTTATTGAGCTGCCATCGAACTTTTGAAGGATCGCTATGCCAACAAACGAATGATTTCTCGTGCATTAAAAGCAATTTTTAAATACCTCAAGATGGATCTGATTTGGGTTCATATCTTGAACAAGAAGCTGGATTCAGAGTCAAAAGGACGATGCGATCTTTCCTGTGTACGATACCTGCCCACGATAAAAACCTGACCTGCCACGATAAAAACAGATTAATAAACTCTTCGAGGAATGATCAGTTGAGCTTTGAGCCACAGAAGAGACTCAGGATGCCAAAGTACAGACATACCACTCAAAGATTGCAACAAAAATTAAATGATCACCCATGCTGTTAGTGATGATCACCGCGCCTTTAAATAACCAACATTTTTAGAAATTTCAATCTCTGATCTAAGACAAGAAGCAAAATGAAAGTGATAATGCTTCAATTGCTTGTCCGTCGGGCACCAAAGTCGACAGCGATTGTAAGTCAAAATGTACGGGCCCAGTTTGCAGAAGGCTAATCATAGAAACGCAAAGCTACTCTACAAACTGAGAGCCAGAGAAGATCTTTTTCAAAAAACTGAATTGTTGCTAAAAAGTTTATTCTTTGTTTAGAACATGAAATAAATGTCAAATTCTCGCTAAGGCATCAGAGTGTTCAAGCGCCCAAACTACTGGTTGTTAGCGTTTTTGTCAGACCAGCTTGATAATTTGGTAAGAGTTGATGTTGTTAGACTTAAACATATTTGTCAAAATGTGCTATCGACAAAAAACTTCAATGCTAATCTAAAGAAACCGATTCCAGTCGCACTCAGCAAGCAGTAATATCATGAACATACCCATCATGGTGAGGGGCAGTCAGTTCTGAAGATTATGTGAAGAACTTGGATTAGCATAAGCAGAGGGAGAAGCCTTGGCCGGCTTCAAACGCTCCATAACCGAAAAGCGGAGACTTCGGAGCTTCCACCGACCCATGGGAGAGGGACTTGAAGGCGGCGTCGTTTGATCCATACACATCTTCCCATTACACAACACTCGTTACGCATCTTCCCATTACACAACACTCGTTACACATCTTCCCAACTTCACTCCCTACTCATGAATCAGACAGCAAAAGACAAGAGAAATAAATAGCGTAAATTATTCACAAAGTTCATTACCGAACTGGTGAGAAGTTTCTGAAAACCGGTACGCTCCCTAATTGGATCCAGGCCTGTGGTAGGTAGGTACCCCAAAAAGTTTGGCTCCAATTCTATAAACTCGAATACTGATATAGCAAAAGCGTTTAATCAGCAATTTACAAATGCAAGTAATCATGTCTCCGACAAGTTGTGGAGGAAAACTATTTGCAAAATTGCCAAATTTTCTTTGGCTGATAACCCAACTTTCTCCCCTCAGCAAACTAAACAAGCCATTGAGGGTAACAAACACTCAGGAGCATTCGATCGTGATGGACTTTGTAATGTCCACTCAAACACCTCGGACCTTATGCACTTGATTACTTGATTTAATTGTTCAACCGTTCGCTGTCTGATAAGATTATCCCCCGAAACGGAAAAATTCCAAGGTAAAACCCCTGCCCAAAGCCGAAAAGGACCATCAAATTTCCACGTCGTACAGGCCTATTTCACAACTGTGCCCCGCTGTCAAAAAATTTTTGAGTCTCTTCCGCCCCTTTTTAACTAAGCTCCACCCGAATGCCACATCGACACGGATACCACCCATTCCATTCCACATCCGCACTCTCCACCCTTCATTTTTTTTTATTACTGATGGTTTTAACCAAAATTGCCCTCCCTTACGTACTTTTCTAGCCACACTTGACCTTCAAAGGCATTTGATATGATATGTCATAGGACACAAGTGGAATTCATTCATGACACACCGCTGCCAAGAGGTGTAGTTCGCTGTTTGAGCAACTATCTATGTGGCCGACAAGCCACCACTAATTTTAACAACCAAAAATCCCCCCAAAGAATTGTTCACTGTGGAGTTCCCCTGGTCTTTGTTTTATCACCGACTCATTTTAATTATTACGTCAATTTCGCCCACCCCCGAAATTGTTCGCTGCACCTCATACGCTGATGATTTCCGCCCCTTTTCCCAAAGCCCCGATGTTGAGGCTGCATTAAGCTAACTAAATGGTTATCTGCGCCACCTTTTTATTTTTTTCAACTCCCATAAGCTAGCATTCGCGTCCTCGGAAGGGGCAGTTACCTTGCTTTCGTCTTACATAGGTTTTAACAAAGTTCCAAATGTCTTTTTTAATCAACGAACCTCCGACTAAAGGATGCTATGATGGTAGATTTCTGGAAGTTAGAAAATCAGACTACCTCATGACATCTCCAAATACGATAAAAGATTGTACGATTAATGGCCGGGATATAATTGCCCATTACTTCTAGCTGATGAACGGACCATATCAGTTTAAACTCAATTGTATTAGAAATGGCCTTTCTTGCACTAATGGAGAAGGTAAAAACTGGATTCGGAGAACTCACGCGACGTGTTTTTCAAACCTCACGCTCAATCTTGGAATACAAAGTTTCACCCAATTTTTTTGGTATTAATCTAAATAGTATAATAAGCCTGATAACAAATTTCTTAACATTAGTTTGTTGTCCTAGAACTGGGAATATGCCTCCAAGTACTGATTTTGCCTCTAAGTCTGCTAAAATTGTGAGAAAAAATTTATCAAAACATAGTTCGCATACTTCTGCTGATTAAACATGGCACGAAAATTTCGATTTTGTTTGAGTTATGTACTCAAAATAATTCAAGCTGATCTTAACTGCATTTATTTTCTAAAAATTGATAGCTAATGGTTTTTATCAGCAGTCGCTATCGGATACATTTGATAATCTGCGCTGGCCAACATTGCAGTGAGTGTTATCGGCATTTTTTAATTGTCCAGTTTATCGAGAAGAACTGAGTGCGCAATTCATCGTAGGGCATGAAGCAAATCCTGACAGCGTTGTAGAGAGTCAAAATTGTACGGCAGGTGCACATTTTTTTCCTGCCAAAACTTTAAAAAAAAACATTTTTCTGCCGAGGAGAAAGACTACGCAGAAACCTCACGGCATCAGTGAACCCCAGCTCCTAATCATTGCCGCCACAAAACCCCTCTAGCTGGCCGCCGATTTTCAAAGTTGGTGTTACCAACCTTAACTTCAAAACCATCCAGCAAAGACCGAACTTCCAACCATCCAGCAAAGAAGTATTTCATGACAACAAGTGCAAATCACCATCACTCAAAGATATGATACAACTCGTTCTGGCCAAATGTGGCAATCAAGAAGTTGTGACACCGGCAACAGCCTCCCACTAGGGGTTTCGCGACAGTGTCGAGCAACCTCTTGACAAAACATCACTCCCCAGGATCCATCTTTGCCAAGGTCATCAATGCGTTGAAGTCTCCTAAGATCCGACGAAACACACAAACGTTAATAAATACTGATTACTTTCAATGAGAACAAGACTTTAATTTGTCACTCACCTCTTCAGCAAGAGGCAGCCACGTTGATGATCTTCGCATCCTTCCTCGACTGCTCCCCTCTGGATACTATCTCAAAGAAGCCCCGCAATTCCTCCCGGTTGTCAGCGCCTTTTCTGCCTGGTTTCTTGACTTCGCCGTCGGGGTTCTCGTCGTCTCCCTCTCCAGCTTTCTACTTCCTTCGTTTGGAAGAATGAGAGAGTATGGATAGCAGTACCCCCGACATTTTGTAATCTGAAAATTGAAGAAGCTTTAAAAGGAGCGGGGTATTTAAGCAGAAATAGCTTTCGTTAGCTCAAGCTAAGATTAAACTTAACCTTTAGATTTCGAGGTTTTTACACAGAGATTGCTTCAATTTGATAATTGATAATCTTTCCCAAATCAGTCACCAGTTTTACCTCTTTGAAGAAACTAGCACAACCCATCGAATCCAAGACATCGAGCCAACGACAGTTCAATGAGCTGCAAACTTGAGACGAACGCGAAAAGAAAAGATCGAAATATTTATGACCTTAAGAGGCGAGGCTTTTTTGATATATAAAAAAACAGTTCCTGTTGAAATATGACAGCTAAATCACATTATACTCACGCAAACAAGAAAAAAAATGATCACCAAAAAGTTCACGCAGTTAGTGCATAGCATAAAATTCGTCGCACTATAATTCATCCAATACTAGCCACACGTAGGGGTTTAGGACTAAGAGGATTTTCACAAAACTTTCGAAAATTTTGTCGACCTTTTATTAGGGTCGAACAGAACCTGTTTTTTTTAGGTCGAACAGATTGATTTTCGGAGCTCTCCCTAAACACTAAAAATACCTTGTTTTGGCCGAATGTTTTGCACCGCAGGCGAAGTGTTAAAAAAAAAAACAGGTCGTAAAAGGCGTTTTTTGTGCTTTATTTTGGAATGCGTTTTTTGGCGCGCGCTTCCCCCTCAAAATAAGTATGTATTGGCGCCAACGAGGACTTTAGAAAAGTTTTAGGGTTCGTCAGCGAAAAATTGACATCTCAACATTGTATAAAAAGGGGACCCTTAGGGTCGGCTGGGGGGCGAAGTCCTGAGGGGGGTCGTCCTCCCCCTAAATCCGCTACTGGGTCCAAGAGAGGCGGCAGTTTGTATTAATTTTTAGTATTAAACTTAAATTATTGAATTTGTCATAACAGAAAGTGTGATTTCAGATTTTCAGTTTTCCTTGAGCTCGGAAAAGAAACGAGGATCAACTCCAATGATTGGTTTGTTGCGCCCAATTTGAATAAACTGACTCTGTATTGAACCAGTTTTAGCACATTCGCTCTGTTTGTTATTAATTAATTAAACGAAACATGGAGCAAACAGAAGCACCGCCTGGTGAAGAAGCTCTTTCTTCAGCCGCTAAAATCTCACCCAGTTTAGCAGCATATGCTGCTATGGCAACGCCTCCTCCCCCGCCGCCCGAAAATATTGGTGGTTCAGCTGCCGCTCCTCCCCCGCCCCCACCGCCACCTGGAGATCCTGCTCATCATGCTGCGAATAGCATTCCGCCAAGTACTAATGTACATGCACCCAACCAATTCTATGACCCTAATTCAGCAGCATACCCCGGAGGTATGTACTACGGAGCGCAAGGACCTTTCCAACCGCAACAACCTCAGCATCATGCTGGTGCTGCTACTCCGACAAACCAAAGCTACTGGGGTCAGCAGAATGCGACTCAGGGCTACCCTCAACAACAAGCACCTCCGATGCACCCAACACATCAGCAAGCGAATGCGGCTTATATGGGGTATCAGGGACAGCAGCAGCCAAGTTCATATGCTGCGATGGCGGGCGGGGGACAGGCCTATCCTGGATATGGACCAGCTCCAAAGTAAGTTAACAGCTGAACTGGTACAATCTCTGTAATCTAAATCGCAACTCGTTGCACTCGTAGTTGACCCATTTTATTGGGTTCAAATGAAAATCGGTTCCTAAATCCCCAATTTTGTGAAATGAGAAGAGTTACTTATGAGAGAGGATACTACTTAAAAAAGGAATAGTGCGCAGTTGTAACATTCAGCAATACTTTTTAGAGGCCCATACGACGCACAATCTGGATACAGACCCTACGGGCAACCACCACATCACCAGCAGAATTACGGTAACCAGCCTCGCTACCCATTGAACAGCTACGACAACAGAGCCAGTATGCCCTACCATCAACCGGCACCAGCCGGTCCAGGTAACTATAATCATCCTAACGAGGCTTCGAACCCACTGATGCAACCTCAAAGAGGTCCGCCAAGCATTCCGGCGCAGGGAGGGGGATTTAACAACAGTTATAGGCCACCCTTTGGCAATCAGTACAGACCTCGATATCCTCAAAACCAAAACTATCAAAATAATTTCACCGCGCCAAGTTACAACGCCAATAATGCTCCGAGGCATGATGGTTCTCCGAACAAGATGCATGGTACAACTGGTGGTAGTAATTCCTATGATCCGCCAAAGATTTCTCCGACAACAGCAAAGGCTAAAGTTGCAGGGAGCTCGTCCCCATCAAAGAAAACGCCCCCACCGTCGGAATGGCCAGAAGGATTACAGGCTTATGTGCAACGCTCGTTTAAGGCATGTGTGTCTGAAAGAGCAAAAGATGAAACGGAAAAGCAGTTAAAAGTTTTCATTCCCAAAATTTTTGACGAGGGATCTGTGCACACCATTAACTGGGAAAAACATCCTTTGATGGACTGTGTTAGACTGCTATCTCCTCCAAGCATACGAGCTAGAAGCTCGTCGAGAAGCGGTAGAAGCAGAAGTCCCGATGATCGTCGCGATGACAGATCTAAACGACGAGGTGGTGGGGATAGGTCACATCGGTCGCCTCATAGTGATAGCCGATCATCAAGTAGGCGAGGTGACCGAGATAGAGATCGTGACAGGAGGAGATCACGTGATAGGGACTCCAGGCGCTACAATAGTGGCAGTAATAAGAGGCAAAACAGGAGTGACAGTGAATCAAGTCGAGACTCAAGGCGCAGCTCTGACGATGAAGTGATGAAGGCGGGAAATAGAAGTAAAAGACGTTATGAACCATCTTCTAGTTCAAGAGATGATTATGATAAGCGAAACAGAAATGATTTTGAAGGTCGTGGTGGAGGAGGCAAGAGGAAAGGCGGAGGCAAGTACACTGACAGAGACCATCCAGATGCTGATCAAGATGACGACAACGTTGTTCCGAAAGGCGAAGATGTCCGCTCCCGACTCAATCAACGAGCGGGTAGAGGCAGAGGCAATAAAGATTCTTTGAACGGCGACGTTCCAAATGACGTGCAGTTTGGTGGCAACCGAGGACGAGGGAAAGGACGTGGTGGAAGGGGAAGAGGTCACAACAATAGCAACAGCTGGCAATCCCAAGATGGACCAGGCGCAGATGATGACGAAACGTCAACTCCGAAACAGTTTAATTCTGGCAATAAAGGCCGAGGACGCGGTCGTAACTTCAAACCAGATACCTCAATTGCTAAAAACATGGAAGCGTTAGACGAAAATGATCCGAGGCTGAAAGCGAGAGCTGCAAGGTTCCAACTGGGAGATGAATCGGGAAATAGTTCGACACCTGTTGTTCCTGTTTTGGGACCCGGATCATCACAAGTTAACAGTTCTCCTTTCCCGATGAAGATGACAGACTTCAATGATGGCAGTAATGGAGGCGATTTTGAGTTTGCTTCGGGAAATGCAATTGTAGGCACGTGCCAGAAGATCACGAAGAACTACTTGAGGTTGACAGAGGCGCCTGATCCGAGCTCGGTGCGACCTGAGTATATTCTGAAGAAATCACTGGAGTACATTAAAGACCATTGGAAGAAAAACAAGGTTAGATTTAATTGATGTTTCTGTTTAAGAGATGTTTCTGTTGAACTTGGTGATGATGTTTTGGGAAAAGTCTTAAAGCTTGTTCAGGCTCACATTTGATTTTCTCTGTTTGATTGTTTTTTAAGTTCAGTTCATTTCATTTGCTAAAATGAAGGCAAACTCCTCTATCGAACAGCAAAAGTGTGATGGTCACGAAAAGCGTGATCAACTTATAGTTTCGAAAATGGATTTAAATTTTCCGCTTTCTCAGTCGAATAAAAAACTCATCTATTGTTTTCTCAAATTGAGTTAATTTTATCAAAAATGGACTTAAATTTTACGCTTTTTCAGCCTAATAAAAAACTCATCTATTGACTTCTCAAATTGGGTTAATTTTATCAAAAATGGACTTAAATTTTCCGGTTTCTCAGCCGAATAAAAAACTCATCTATTGACTTCTCAAATTGGGTTAATTTTATCAAAAAGTGTCTATCCTAAATTGATCTAGAAATTCGAAGAGCTTTAAGAGCTATCTATTGTTTTCTTTAAACTCCGAAAGATAAAAAACAACTCAAATTAAAAAAAAAACAAGTCAATGTTATTTACTTGCCTTCATTGACTCTTTTTCCAGCTGTCTGTTGGCTGTGTTTTTGAATTATTTGAGCTTACAGAGTTTCCGTTGTATTTCGAGGCTTTTTTCTGCTTATTTTGAGCGTTATTCGATTAGCATAATTGTGCCCACAATGGTGTTGCATTTGGATCCCGTAGTGTCCTCGGTTTTTTTCTTTTCCAATGCTTATTTTCTTTCATGGCATATCTTTCGTAGTTTTAGGAGTAGTTTTTGCTGTTTTTTTTTCTTATGTACGGGCGAAGACAGCTTCGCTTTTGAGGAATAAATCCAATCGGTGCAATTTAATGTTGCAAGCCACGGCTTAACATTAAATACCTGTATTTACAAACTATTGTTGTGATCATCAGATAGCTTATGTTGTTTGTAGGATTACATGTACGTGTGCGATCAGCTTCGATCCGTGAGACAAGATTTGACAGTGCAATGCATCCGGAATGACTTCACTGTCACTGTGTACGAGACCCATGCACGTGTGGCGATTGAACAGGGCGACTACCAGGAGATGAACCAGTGCCAGACCCAACTGAAGGCAAGTTGCCGCAATGACTTTTATGTTCAACAAAACTAACTCCAAAAATTTTGTGCTGTAGAAAGAGAGAGCGATGGTTGCTCGGTCCAAAAATAAACGAATTTTTCATGTTTTTGGTGAATTGCTAATCCCAATCCGTGAAGTTTTTTAATGAATTTTAGATTTCCTCACGGAATAAGAAAATCACTCAAACTTTGCTCATATTAGCTTGATTTTGTTAAAATAGTTTCGAATATTCTTCAAAATGAAAGAACTTTACGATGATGTAATTTGTTCCATGGACCCAAAATTTGAAAACAAATCTTTGATTGCGTAAACGCTTTTTATTCCGACCATTAAAAATGGGGAGGAACTTTGTATTCGGGTGTATTTTATTTTTTTTCTACTTTTGTTTTCCACTTAAAGTCAGGGAACACAAATTATCATCGGAATGGTTTGAGTGTTATATCATATAAAAGCCCTTTCATTCGTGATTCGAACGACATAAGTTTTTTTCAAAAAGTCGCAGTATTGAGAAAACCAAACAAGTTCAAAGCATAGTGTCATATTACAAACAATACTTTTGTCCAACCTAACTCGCAAATAAAAGGATTATTTTGGTCTAATTTCGTTCTTGGGTCTATTTTCGTTCTTGGGTCTCTGAGGAGTGTTTTTCCAATAAATCGCAGTTGAATTTTTTTTAATAGTAATTCTTTGGTATTTATTGATTTTTCGACATCGTGGCTTTCTGTTTATTTTTTGTCGGCTTAGATTCCGCTTTTTGCATGTAACTAAGTCGCTTATTTGATTGTTATTTATAAAGATTAGAAGGCGAAGTTTGCTTTTTTGTTCTCAAACTGCGTGGAGTCAGTTTTAGATTTAATTCATTTGTTAGGTTTTGGGTTTAAAAAATTCATTTGAAATTGATTTAAAAGCGCACTATTTTGATGTCAAAATTTTTCGAAAAAATTAATAAATTTCGAAAAAAATCTTGATTTTGCAGAATGGCTTTTTTCAATTCTGATATGACTGCTTCGTCTGCGAAAGAATGTTGCAAATGTCGTGCGATTTTCAATAGTTTGGTTTTTCCGGCTGAAATTTTTATGAAAAAAGATTTCGTATTTTTTTGTTTCATTAACGGGCGTATCTTTTGTTGTGATCTTGTTTATCAACTTTTCACTTTTCATCTTTGGGATGTTAAAAGTTGTTTTAGGTTTTTTGGAGGTTATTTTCTGTGACAATTTCTCAACTTTTGTAAAAAAAAAAAAATTTTGAATTGATTTTTCAATTTCATTTTTCATTTTAATCTTAGTTAATAGCAAGCAACAGATTGGGCCTCTTCTTGTCCTCAAGTTTGCCTGTAGGACAGGCAGGTTTTTTGGTTGTAATATTTTAAGCAAAGTTTTTGTATTCAATCTGGAATTTTAGATCATTCGACTGAGTTTTTTTTTCAATCTAGTTGTTATGAGAGAAAAATAAAAGTTTGGGCTGCCCTAATCCTTCTAATGTTTCAGGTAATTGATTTCTATAAGAATTGAAATAGAATTTTTCTTCATATTTTAGCCTGCGATTTCTTCAATACATTTATTATTTTTTCTAATTTTTCGCTGGAGACCTATCTTTTGAACTTAGGCATTTCATTTGTATCGCAAGTGGTGCGAAGCTCAGCTTCGCCTCTGTGTGTTATTTTTTATTTGCCTTTTTTCTTTTTTTGACACTTATGAAACTACTTGGAGGTTTTTCGCTTGTTTGTGAAGTGCAACTTCGCCTCTGTGTAATTAAATGTATTTCATTACAACCACGAGTAGTGAATTTTTCTAGGCCCTGTACGACGATGGACTCCCAGGAGCATGTTGGGAATTCACAGCTTACAGACTCCATTACTACATCTTCACGAACGCCCCCAATGACTGCATACACTACATGCGAACACTCACCGAAGAGGGGAAGGCTTTTGAAGTGGTCGATCACGCCGTGAAAGTGTTCAAGTATTGGTCGCATGGCGACTATGTGGGCTTCTTCAAACATTACAAAAACGCTCCATTAATGAGTGGTTATATGATGGACTTGGTAATCGAACGAGAGCGGAAGAAAGCACTGAAAATCATCTGCAAAGTGTATAGACCAATGATTGACATTCAATACTT